CTGGAATTGATTTCTGTGTATAGTTGGCAGTAGGAAATACATCCTCCCATATAGATAGCCAATTGTCCCAGCACCATTTAGAATTGTCCATCTTTTTTCCATTGATTTGTACAGTGGATCTGTCATATACCAGGTTTCTTCAAAGATGTGGGCTCATCTCTTGGTTCTTTATTCTATTCCATTGGTTGATTTGTCTACTCCTATACCAATATCACATTTCTTTAATATTATGTGGTTATGATAAGCCTTTCATCTGCCTGAATTGCTATTCTGCTAAAGATACACACTACTAAATCCTTAATTTTTTTCGGGTCTGTCCTTCATGGTCACATTCTTAGCCAGCTTTTCCTGACCTTCCTTCCTAAAATTTCAATGTCAGCTCCAAAAATTTTATATCCTCCTTCTCTGCTTTATCTGCTTGGCAATTATTATTTAACAAAGCAGTGTATATACTTCTCTTGTTTTTTGTCTCTTTTTCCACTAGGATATAAGGTCTATGAGGGCAGGAATTTTTGGCTGTTTCATTACTCTTGTAACCCCAGCTTACAGAACATTGCCTGGCACTTAGTAGGTGCTCAATTAGTATTTCTGGAGCAAATCACAATGTTGATAGATGGAAAGGTGACCCTTCCTCTCTGTCTTTCCCTTTAAGAATATGCTTTTTTCTAGTTCTCTTGTTCCTTGATGCTAGATTAATAAAAGCAATCTGAAGCAAAGGGAGAAATAACAAGGTGTTCCCTAAGATTTCTTCTCTAGCCATGGTCCAGATGTGAGCAATGAAATGGAAAGGGTGGAGGGACCAGTAGTTGGCCAATGGTGCATTAGCTTTTATGGGTCAGCTATCCTGCTGGAAACACCTCCATGTTTTCCATGGCAAGCCGAGCTGGTAGGACCTACGGTTTATAGCATCCTCACTGGGTAAAGAAATGTACCACACCTTTGGTTTTTAGGGTGACACACCCTGCACAGGAGGAGAATGAACACTCACTTTGATTTATCAAGCATGGCAACTAAAATTTCAGCTGTGTGACACACTTCAGTATAGTACTGGAACTATGGAGTCATCTAAAAGCGAATGCTCTGTGGGGCAGTCTGTCTGCAGCTGGGTAACGCCCAGGCAGGCACTGAATTGAACAGTGATGAGTCATGGAAATTCTGTCAGAGAAGGTGCTTTGTGCTTTATTATAGGACAAACTGGGAAGCCAAGTCATTCTGGAAGGAATGTGTATGAAGTTTTCAGATGAGGACTTGAAGTTTTATAGGTTAGTCATTTGATAAAAACCATCTGTTGAAATGTTAAGCTGAACCCATTACTTTTTTCATTCATCTCTCACATTTTACATCAACTCAGTATAATAAATATTTGTTGAGGGCCCATGGAGTGCCAGACACTGGGGTTATAAAGATGAACAGCACAGCAGTCCCTGTTTTGAGAGGCTTATGGTCCAGTGGAAGTACGAATTATGTGTTTATGTGTGTTTTCCTACCCCAGTAGTGAGGTCAGGATTTGTAATTTATATGCATCCTGGTTGCCAGGGCTGAGTGTTGTGCTGATCCACTTTTATTGATGAAATAAATCCATGAAAGAGCTTGCACTGATTTACCAAATATAGATGCTGAGATATATAACATTGTGCATTACTGCTACTAGGATAGTAAATTTGTATTACAATTGCCTCTGGACAGAGAAACCGACTTCACAGTGAGGTAGTGACCCAAACTGTGGCATTAGAAGACAATAAAGATGCTGGAATAGCTGACAGACACAAGCTATTTTGTTCTCTGAGGCTTAAAACAGATTTTGAAAATGATGAAAGGCAGATATTATGGGACATGTTTTGTAAGGTATTGGTAATGTTAAACATGAGCATATTTTTCCAGATCTCTCTGAGTTGGTCATACAATGACATTAATTATTTCAGCTTTTCAGTTGGAAGATACTACATCAGCACTTTAGGGGTCACAAAGATTAACAAAAGGGCCTCTGCCAAAAGGGCTGAAGAGCTAGTAGTGTTAGTATTCTTAACTAGCTGCACATGTATTCATAAACTTTGAAATATTGAATAGTGTGCAAAACTGGTGTGTAGGTGCACTTTTCTGAGGAGTGCGAACGTTAAATCATCTGGTGGTTTATGTTCCTCAAAGATTAAAGACCTCTGGGCCGGCCAAGTGGCGCGATGGTTAAGAACTGGCTTGGGACACCAGAGGGCCCCGGTTCACATCCCACATATGAGGGCCAGTGACACTGCCCTCCACAGCTAAGTTGCTGAACAACAGCTCAACCTGGAGCTGGGCTGCCTTGAGTCGTCGACGGCTGCAGCCCCTGTGGCAGTGGGTTGCCATGGGCTACCGTATGTAGTCAGCGGCCAGCATGAGCGGCCAGCAGCCGCCGTGAGCGGCCGTCCAGAAGCCGGCGACTGATCTGCCTCGCCAGAGAGGGGCGCAATGATGGTGCCAACTTGGGCCAGTGAAGCAACATCCTCCACAACTAGATTGAAGAACAAAACGACAGCAACTTGTCTGTTCCCCTTTCCCCAATTCCCCAGCACTGTTCCCATCCCCCCAATTCCCCAATAAAAATCTTTAAAAAAAGGAAAAGATTAAGGACCTCTGCACCGGAGGGATATAATTAAAGAAAGAATTATAGTATTCGGTTGTTGGAAAAGTCATGACGCATTTTTGCAGCGAAAAACATAGAAAAATACGTCATGACTTCTCCGACAACCCAATATATGGGAATTACAAAGAACATGAGGAGTAACCCAGGTGGAATAAGCAAAGTCTCAAAAGAATGGAGGAAGGCAGCATTTGACTACTGACGGATAGGTAGGGGGCGTAGGGCTCTTGGAGTGGAGAGACCATCATAAAGAGAGACAAAAATTACTATTGTCAATGAAGGAATACTTTTACAAAATTGGGATCATATGGCATATGTGGTTTTATGTACCCTGTTAACTGAGGATTTTCTCAGGTTGGTATCTTAAAAAACACACATATATTTTGAATGGCTGTATAAGGTCCCATGGTATGAATATATTTATTTATTTTTTCTGGGTTTTTACTCTTACAATGATGCAATGAAGTTCCTTGAACACAAATTTTTGTGCCCATTTCTGCACAGACTCATGTTAGTGAAATTATTTGATCAAACTGTATGAATTCTTTTAGGGATCATAATACACAGTACTATACTGTCCTCCAGAATTGTAGCAACACATCAACTCCCATGTGAGCCTATTGTACTGCACTTTGCCTAACACTGAGCGTTTTCATTGTAAAATCTTTGCCAATTTTGTAGGGGAAAATTTCTTTGCTGCCAATGATAAACATTTTTCAGATTTTATCATTAATTATTTTGTATATGAGCTATCTATTGCTGCTCTTTTCCCATTTTTCAATTTATGTCTTAGGATTTTTTTTCTAATTAATTTACATAAATTCTTCATATCTTGATGGTATTAGCCTTTTTGATATTATATTTATGGTGAATCTTTCCTCCAGCTTCATGACTGGAAAATATTTTTGTGATTTTTTTTTTAGATGCACAATTTTATATTTTCAGAGTCAAATCTTCAGATTTTCTTTTTTGTAATTTATTGTATTTAAATTCCTTTCCTATCCCGAAATGAGATAAATGTTCATGTAAATATTTTTATGGTCTGTGCTTCAGGGTTTTTCAGGCAGTTTTCATACTTTCAGGTATCTTCTTTGGACCAGGTGATGTAAATTATGTCTGATACAGAGGAAGGAATTAAGGTGAGGCACCCCTGTCAATATTAGTGGAATCAGTAATGTGGTGGTTGGTGTTCTGGTGCTTGGAGACAGTCTCTCTGACTTTGAACCTGGCTCTGTCACTTACTATGTGATCTTTGAAGTCATTTAACTTTTCTGTTCCACAATTTCCTTATCTGTAAAATGGGTGAATAATAGAACCTACCTCATATGGATATGAGGATAAAATGAATTGATATGTAAATCACTTAGAACATGTCTTGGTACAAAGTCAGTACCAGCCACAGTTTGGTCTATGCTGGGTAGATGCTTTGAAGCTTGATATTGTTTCAATATTCTTTGCATTTCTAAAAATTTGAGCATTTCAAAGCACTCTTCTACTCCTTTACCTTTAGTAGAGCCTTCCTCCGCCGCTTTTGTAAGTAAAACGCGCCTCCTGCAGGCCACAAGTTAAGTTCATTTCCAGCTCTTGAAAGCCCTACAGACCGTGGCGGGAGAGAGTTTCCGACCCGCCACTTCCGAGCGTCTCCAGACCGAGATCCACTTGCTCCCCTGCGCTTTCCACTTCTTCGTCACCTACTTCTTCCCTATGAGCCTGATCTCTTCTAATTTCTATAGACCCCAGAAGGGCTTCTGCGTGTGACCATTCATTCTTCACTCATTCAAGTTCATTGGAGATATTTTGCTGGGCGCTTGCTGTGCGCGAGGCATTCATGGTGGGGCTGGTAGTGAACTGAACTTAATTAAGACTATGTCGTTAGGGGGCTTGTGGTCTCATGGGAAAAACAAATACATATTGTGCATAGATGGGCAAACTGACAGCGATCTTTTAGTTTCTGTTTTTTCACCTGTAAAATAAGAGCTACAAGGTCGCTGAAAGATTAAACAAGAGAAAACAGAGCCTCTAAGAGTGAGCCCGGTGCAACAAGGGAGCTCAGCAAATGCCTGTTTTTCCAGCAAATGCCTGTTTTTCCTCCATTCGTCTCCATATCGAACATGATGAGTGCCAGCCAGCCTTGTGGGTTCAGGTGTCTCATTTTCAACTTACGGCCTCTTTGTTGGCATCACCAAACAGAGCTATTGATACTACACTCTTCAGCGTGTGGAAAATTTTGCCACTGGCATTCCAACACCCCAGTGTCAACCGTCAAAAGTTACGGACGGACTCCCAGTACAGGAAGCGCCCAGGCTCGCCCGCTGAGCGCCCGCGCGGGGTGGGCGGGGCGGCAGGGGGCGGGACTTGTGTAATCACTTCCGCTTCCGGACAAGTGAAATCTCCCGCCACTCGGGGAAACCGGGTGCTGGCGGTTGTTTTTTCGCGTTTGGTGTGGTTGCAGGTAAGAGAAACTCCCGTGGATTTAGGACGGACAGTAATTCTGGTGCTGAGACTTGCAGATCGAGAAAGAAGGGAGAGTGCTTTGCGGGCGGTGGGAGCAGAGGTATTGATCTGGCGCAGGTAGGGGTTCTGGGGGTCGGTCGGTTGGTTGATTTATTGGGGCAGAGACGCAGGTGCCGGTAGAGTTGAGTAGACAGTTTTCCCGGAGGAGGGTCGGGTAGGATGGGAGTAGGAATTTTTATAAGGAACTTAATGGATGCTTCCCAAACTGCGTTCCGAAAGACTGGAATCGAAAGACAGTTGTTTTGTTTCCCAGGGTCATAAGAGAGGAAGTGAGTAACTGGACCCGGTCCCTTAAGTCTCTTACCAGATAAAACCTACCGCGCTTTTCTCCAAGTTCAGGACTGAAGCCTGTATGAAATCTGATCTTAACTCTTGGGACTACAGAGATCTAAGGACGGTAGCACACAGACCTATGGTGAGCCGGCAACATCACCAGACTTTCTTGTTGCTGGAAGTTAGGATCACCACCTGCATCTTCTCTAGCACGCACTCCTCCCGCATTTCAAAATAGGTACAGGTGTATTGTTGAAAATCTGGAAAATACAGAAAGACATCGCCCAGGGATAACCACTGTTAACATTTTGTGCATGCCCTTCAACTTCGTTTTTTTTTGTCTGTGCGTGTGGAGTATTTATTTGTATATTTAGATTTGTTTTCTTTTCTCCACTTTCCATCATTTCAACCTTTTTATGTGCTTTCTTAAAAGGTAACAAGATGGAGTTTTCTGGAGCAAAGCGAAAGAAACCGAACTTGTCAGGTGATCAGCGGAATGTTTGCTACCCTCATAGCCTTCAGTTTTACTTGCAACCGCCTTCTGAAAACATATCTTTGATGGAGTTTGAAAACTTGGCTATCGATAGAGTTAAACGTGAGTGACATTTGAATTAGAATTTATATATTCTTGAGAACCTCACTTATACTTTGTGGGAATTAGTGTGGGTAATCTACTTCCTTCATTAAGCAATTCATTCAACAAATATTTATTAAAGGTTTACTATTGAGGGTTAGATATTCATTTATTTACTGTATATTTATTGAGTCCACTGTGTTCTAGTGGTAGGGATTGTGAGATGAATAATGTAATTCTCATCTTTGATGAAGTTGTAGTCTAATACATGGAAACAGACATCCAAAATGCTAATTATAATTTAGTATTTTAAATGCTGTACTAGAGGTAAATAGTAGTGCTGTTGAAGCAGTGGTGCGAGTGACTGTCTGATTAAATAAGACTTCTTAGAGAAATTGAAATGTGATTTGGACCTTGAAGAATGAGTAGAACTTTCTCAACACAGAAGTGAAGGGTTTTTTTAGGTTGAGATAATGACCTGTATGAAGGTTTGGAGGCATGAGAGACAATGTCATATTTGTGGGAACGTTGACAAGTTCAGGGTAGATGGAGAAGTGTGGATAACCAAGGGCATTTTGTGCCACGCTAATGATATAACAAGTGTAAGAAGAATGTGGCAACTGTACTGGGGTCCTTCTCATCCTCTGTGTGTTGGTGGAAGAAAGGAATGAGCTTGGCATGAACTGAAACAAATAGTAGCAATGTCTTCAGAGTTTATGTTCCAGGATATCCTTGTGGGAAAAGCATAAGAAGAGGAGAGATAATGTTCATCATTCTTAGAGGAGCAGGATGAGATCTGATAGAGAGGGTGCTCAGGATCTCTTTGTTGAAAGAAAGAGTGTTGACAAGGGAGAAAGGGGTTTTAGGAATCTTAGCAGTGTCAGATGTTTCATAGAGATTAAGATGATTCAAAAGTGTCCTTTGGGTTTTGTATTTAAAAGGATCCCCCTTTGTATGGGCCTGAACTAAGGCAGTGACAGCGGCAGTGATGAGACAGGAGAGATTTAAAGGATACCGAGGAGGTATTATTGACAGGATTTGGTCTGTTTGGATGTGAGCAGTGAGGGAACAGGTAGGAGTGGCTGAAGCTAGTGGGGATAGGAATAGCCAGAAGAGAAGCAGGGCTAGGGGGAAGATAATTAGTTTGCTTTGGGACATGGATTTATGTTCAGTATTCATTTTAGAAGCATTTTATTCTTGAGTTAAAAAATGCCTCTTTCTGTATTGATGAAAGACAAATTCACCTGAAGAAGAATTTATAAGGGGCTTTAGGAACTTGTAAACTGGATGTAGCATCTATTCAGGATGGTTCGTTTGGGTGATTGGAGGCCTTGTTTCTTCTCCTTCTGTGTTAAACCAGAAAGGAATGGCTATTTTTCTGATGAGTCTATGCTGAGTAAATGAAGCCGACTGCCTAACAGGCAGCTCCACATGAGGGATGTAAACATCGGTGCTTAATCTTTTTTCCATATCGACACACTTTTCTGTTCTTCAACCACAGCGGCTCAGTGTGGCAGTGATTATCCACTATTCCGCTCTTCCCCCTGGTTGAGAATCCCTGGTATTAGATTATGCTGTGGGACATTGATATTTTCTGAACATGAATGAAGATTCATAAAGATCTCATAAACATATATAATTTGTATAATGTACTTTCAGAAAATAAAACTGTTACAACTTGTCATCTTTTTTAAGTAAGTACTTACGGAATTGCTGTCCATAGATATCATTTGTCTTGGTTTAGTTTTTTAAAATTATCTTGCATTTATATGTTTTTCTTTCTTTTATTCTTTTCTTTCTTTTTTTTTTAAGTGCTAAAAGCAGTTGAAAATCTTGGTGTGAGCTATGTGAAAGGAAGTGAGCAATACAGGACTAAGTTGGAGGCTGAGCTTCGAAAGGTCAAGTTTTCCTTTAGAGTAAGTAAAAGGGGAAAGAAATGTTCCTTCAGTTTGTATATGTTCATGAACTGAGCATCAGTTGTGGGAAAGGTCTTGTATTAGGCACAGGGCTTTCATAAAGATAATACTGCATAGACTCTGCCTGAAGATACCTACAGCCTCCTAGGGGTGATTAACATGTAGTCAGGTGGTTGTAATACGGCCGGGTTTGTCCAACTTTGGTACTATCGATGTTTGGGGCATGATAATTCCTTGTTGCAGGGACTGTCCTGTGCATTGTAGGATGCTCAGTGGCATTCCTGGCTTCTACCCACTAGATGTTTCCAGACACTGCCACATGTACCTTGTGCATTACAGGATGATGAATGTTATTACTAGGTGTATGCTCCAGGAACTCTAATAGCATGTGTAATCACCCAGTTCAGATTGTGGTGGTTTGGGAAGGCTTCCAAGAGGAGGTAATGCTGGAATTGCATCTTAATGGGTATGATTAGATTTTTATTTTGGGAAAATGACTGCCAACAGCAGATTGACAGGCTCAAGTTTGGTAGGAGGAAAACCAGTTAGGAGCCAAGAAACGAAGAGGATGAATTGAATGGAGAGAAGAAGACTGATTGAAGAGATATTAAGGTGGAATCAAAAGATTTTGGTGACTGGTTGCAGAGAGAAGGGAGAGAGAAGAGTTATGAATGACACCCAGGTTTCTAGTTGGGACAACAAGGTGGACGGATGGTAGTGATATTCTGAGATGTGATACACAGGAAGAGAAGTAAGACTTGAAGACATCGAGTTTAGTTATATAGACATGAATTTGAGGTGCCTGTGGAGATGTCTGGTGGACAGTAGGATATGCATACAGGTCTGGACTTTGGAGATCTCTGGGTGGGAGTATAGATTTAAGAGGAAGGTGGGAATCATTAGGAGTAGGTGAGAGTACCCTAGGGAAATATTTGAGTGAGAAAAGAATATGATGGAGAGTAGGACACGAGGAATACCAATGTTTAAGGTGAAGTAGAATTGGAGGAGTCTGGGAAAGAGATTGAGAAGGAGTTGCCTGAGAGGTAGGAGGTCAGCCAAGGAAGGCAAGAGATTCAATAGTAATGATCAAGATACAGATAATAACATTAAAGGAATAGCAACAGCAAGCATTTCTGTTATGCTTACTATGCCCTGGAGCTTGTTCTAAGAGAATTACATACATTAACCCATTGTAATCCAGACAACAGTGTTTTGAGGTAGGTAGTATTATCATCCTTATTTATTTATTTATTTATTTATTTATTTATTTATTTATTTATTTTAAAGATTTTATTGGGGAATTGGCGAAGGGGAATAGTGCTGGGGACTCGGGGAAGGAGAACAGACAAATGGAGGAGGGGAACAGACAAGTTGCTGCCCTTTTGTTCTTCAGTCTAGTTGTGGAGGATGTTGCTTTACTGGCCCATGTTGGTATTATGATCATTGTGCTCTTCCCGGCTGAGGTAGATTGGTCGCTGGCCATTGGATGGCAGCTCACGCCAGCTGCGAGCCGCTCATGCTGGCTGCCAGCCGCTCATGATAGCTCAAGGAAGCCCACTGCAGCCCCACTGCAGCCTATGCCGTTGCCTGTGATTCATGGCAGCCCAACTCCAGGTGGAGCTGTTGTTCACCATCTTAGCTGTAGAGGGCGCAGCATCACCGGCCCATGTGGGATCTGAACTGGCGGCCCTGTTGCTCAGAGCTCGCGCTCCCAAGACAACTCTTAACCAACGAGCCACTCACATGGTCCTATCATCCCTATTTTATAGATGAGGACAGTGAGTTATATTATAGATAGGCTAAGTAACTTGCCCAAGCATGTGAGATAATATTAGGTTGTCGGAAAAGTCATGACATATTTTGTCTATGTTTTTCAAAGGTCATTTTTTTATATAAAGAATAAAGATCAATCAATGATATATTGCCCGTTTTGTTCGATAACCTTTTGCCATCTTTCAGTGAGCTTCATAATTGCTTGTTCATAGAAGGACGTGTCTTTATTTGCGAAAAACTGAACAAGGTGCTGACTTACAGCCTCATCTGAATTGAACGTTATAGCACGCAAGGAGTTTTGAAAAGAGCAAAACAAGTGGAAGTCAGACGTTTCAAGGTCAGGCGAGTATGGTGGGTGTGGCAACACATCCCATCCAAGCTCCAATAATTTTTGATGGGTGATCAAACTTGTGTGTGGTCTTGCGTTGTCGCAATGGAACACAACTCCTTTACAATTAACAAGCTCTGGACGTTTCTGGATGATGTATTCGTTCAAATTGTCCAATTGCCGACAGTACACATTCGAATTGATTGTTTCATTCTATGGTAGGAGCTCGAAAAACACGACACCTTCAAGATCCCACCACACTGAGAGCATAACCTTCCTCTGATGAATGTCTGCTTTTGATGTCGTTTGAAGCGAATCATCACATCCGTCGGGACCAAGACCGTTTGTGCACCACACTGTTGTAAACAATCCACTTCTTATCACCAGTTATCAGTTGCTTCAAGAAGGGATCGTTTTCCTCACATTTAATGAGCATGTTGCAGATGTTTATACGTGCCGTTAAATGAACTTCTTTGAATTCATGCAGAACCCAAATATTGAGCTTGCTAAGTATCCCAGCTTCTTCAGGTGGTCGTGAATGCTTGAATGATGGATGTTCAATGTTTCTGCAATCTCTCGTGTCATGTAATGTGGGTTTGACTCGATCAATGCCTTTATTTTGTCATCAACCTTGGTGGGCCTCCCTGACTGAGGAGCGTCATTGAGATCAAAATCACCAGCACGGAATTTTGTGAACCATCATCGGCACTGACGTTCTTGTAGAGCATTGTCACCCTAAACTTTATGCAACTTTTAACAAGCTTGATGCATGTTCTTCCCTTTATGGAAGTAAAACAGTAAAATATGGCCAAAATGCACAGTTTGGTCTTCCATCTTCAATTTGTAAAATCTCCCAAACTCAACCATATCGCTCAATTTTTTTTTAGAATGAAGCTAGAACTGTCAGCTGTCAAATGACATAGCAATAATGTAGATCTGAATGACTTTAGTACTTCCAAAAATGAACTAGTGCCATCTGTTGCAAACATGCGTCATGACTTTTCTGACAACCCAATAGATGGTGGAGCCAAAATTCCAATCTGGGCTTATTGTCTCCAAAATGTTGTGATGCTCTTAACCACAGCAGCCTCAGAAGCTTAGGAAGGATCATGTAAAATGAGTTATACAGAATCCATTGATCTATCAACGGGGTGGACTCTTTGTAGATAGAAGGAGACGCCTGAAAGATGACAGTGGTTGGAGGAGGGAGGTGGGAGTTGGATATGGAACATGTAGTATTTTAAGATGTTCAGCTGGAAGGACGGGAGAAACAGAGCTGAATATAGAGGCTGTTGTTGGGAAAAGAGAAGATACATATGTATGCATATATGTATACACATACATGACGAGATAGTTATACATGTTTATAAGCTAAGCAGAAAGATCTAGAAGAGGAGGGGAGCTTGAAGGTACTTTGAGAGAGCATTTGATAAGGTCTTAGAAGGCACGAGCAGATGGGCTGCAGGGTTTAGGTGTAAGAATTAGCTTTCCATAGGAGGAAGGGCAGATGCTTTATCCATGGAGATGGAAGGGAAGGCAGCACAACATGTGGGCACAGAGGCCTGGAGCTGAAGTTAGCCTGGTGGCCTTTATTTTCTGTAAGATAGGTGAAGTCATCCATTGAGAGAGAAGTGGAAGGTGGGATGGTAGGGAGCTGGGGTCAACCAGTGAAGACTGAATCAGCTTTTCTAAGAAGTGAAGAAAGAGATAGTTATATGTCAAATCCCAGCTCTGATGCTTCCAGGTTTTGTGACCCTGAACCAGTTATATGGCTTCCCTGTGCCCCAGTTTCCTCATCTTTAAAATAGGGATACACAGCAGTGTCTACCTCCTAGGGTGTTTTAAAGGATTACATGGGTTAATAGATTAAAAATGCTGAAAACTGTGCCTCGTACCTCATAAGTGCTCAAGATGTGCTTGCTCTTACTATTTTGGTCTTGAATAAGGTTTCCTTGCTGTTGGTAAAGAGGCTGTGAATTCTTAATATTCCAAATTCCCGCAGTTGTGTGTTATTTCTCCAGAGGTTCTCAGCATTTTGGGAATAGGACTGTAGAATATAGCTATCGAGTAATTTAGAATCTAGGTTTTGCCGGAAGGTTGAAAAGCAAGAAGTTGAGGGTTGTAAGAAGTGGTTGAAGTGGTGAGTGCTCTGGGCATATGCTGGATAAGAAAGTTAAGAGAGGAGGCATTCATAGGAGGGAAATGGTTGGGTCCAAACCCGGCAGTTTTGCTGAGATGAGTTCCGTTCTCAGTTTTACCTGAATGCTAACTTAAGTCAACTGATAATTATCCTGGAAAGCATATTATGAAATTTGTGCTTTTGAAACTTTTACTTTGCATTGACTTATGCTGACTCAATATTTCTTTACACCTCTTACTATTCTCATGCATTGATTTTATTCCTGTGCCATTATTTTTAAGGAAAACTTAGAAGATGAATATGAACCACGAAGAAGAGACCATATTTCTCACTTTATTGTGCGCCTCGCGTATTGCCAGTCGTGAGTATACATTTATATGCTCACAGTCAAATCTGATGTCCTGGGTTATAAACTGGTACATGGAAAGCTAACCTGTATTGTACTGAATATAGGAAAACAGAATAACATCAGAAACCAGTGGTTCATGGGCTGAACACTGCTGCAGCAAATTGTTTGAAACAAGTTGTTTGCTACAAAACACCGGAAAAAAATTCTGTTGCAAATTTTGCCTTGTTGAGACGCTTTTTGACTTTGTGGAAGAGACTTCATCTGGAATTTAAAATTGGAGGGGATTTCATTGGGAAGAAGGCCTTTTGATACTTTTTTCCCCCCTAAAAAGTAGTAATATTTATAAGAAATAATGAATCGAATACACACTTGAATTAGATACAGGTTTTTAGAAGTTGAGATGAATGGGCAAGTGCTCATTAGAATAAGATATTTTCCTTTGGTAGTTGGTTTCTTATATGTCAATAGTGCCACCCAGAGGGACAAGGAGTAAGTTGCCGTTCTTTAAAAAAAACCAAAACAAAACTTTGTTTTTTTCTGTATTAATTTTGGCTAAATAACATACTTATAAATTTCTGATTTTTAAAAAATTTATAGGCTTATCAAATGAATATTGAATTGTTTACTATCCCAAGATTAAAAACTGAGAAATTATTGACCAGCTTTGGTCCTAGATATTTTCTTTTGTAAAAAACTATATGTAGTTTATGCAATTTATGCTGTAAATGTATTGCTGAAAATGTGAAAGTCACTTCAGAAAAAAACTAAATCATATTTTACATACAATGGCATAATTATAGCAACAATAATGCCCATTATGTATCTGTTTTGTAAATTAACATACAGTATTTGTATGTTGGCATTTAACAAATTGAGGTTACAGTGCATATTAAATTTTGTGAAATTAGCCATAGAGCTGTAAGCAAAGTTTACTTTGTGAAGTTTATCTGATCATGATCTATTCAGAGATAAAGTTACCTTTAAAAAATATGGGTTTATTTGGCGTTGATGAAACCACCTTAGACGAAGGAATACCCCATTTTCTAATGTAATTGACTATTTTGCTGTTACATTAAATACAGTGGACTTTTTTTTTATATTATTTGATAATAATGCAGCTAGGCTTGAAGTATTCTGTATTTATTGCTTTTAATTTTATGGTCAGAACACCTCGCCTCCCATATTCAACACATCCGTGGAATATTGTGGTGTGTGGTATTGATACTCTAGGACTTGTAACTTTTAACTTCTGTCTATTGGCATCTTGTTTGCGTTTGAATATTGTTTCATAGAAACTTCCTGGATTTAATAATTGGTGGATTTTAAAAATAATCATTGGACTTTTCATTTATACTTACAATTTTTCCATCTCATTTCAGTGAAGATCTTAGACGCTGGTTTATTCAACAAGAAATGGATCTCCTTCGATTTCGATTCAGTATTTTATCCAAGGACAAAATTCAAGATTTCTTAAAGGATAGCCATTTGCAGTTTGAGTCCGTAAGTATATTTTTGTAGTCATCTCCAATTGCTTTCATTATTCATCCCTCCCTGTTGCCTTAAGTGGTGGTATTAATGAGTTTGTTCTTTTCACATTTTCTCCTTTAATACCTGCCAGAGATAATAGCTATTGGCTTTGCCCGACAACCTTTCCCTTTCCATGACTAGAAGAAAAGGGGCTCCTTAGTACCAAAGCCCCACATTTAGTTGCTCTATTAAACATGTGATTAATGAAAGCACAAAAAGGTTTAATTTATAAAAGCTTATCTTTAACCAGAATCTTCTAGGCCAAAAATTTAAAGTTAATAATGCATTAAAGAAAACAGAAGTTTAGTACTTGTTTCTAATAATGAAATTTAGAGGGGTTAACACTTTAAAAGTCAGTCATCAGTAAAATCTCTGTCTGAATAGTTTTAAAAAGTAATTTTGCAGACAACTCTGAATGATTTACATGTGGTAATTACATAAAAAAAGAGAAATGTCTGGGACGTGTTTAGCAAGATAAGTATTGTGGGTGGAAATAGAATTTATGTGTTTTGGGTGACTTTATGCTGCAATGGGAAGGTAGAAAAATTCAGTTTTGGAAGATTTAGAGCAGCCAGCAGTAGTAGGACTGGTTGAAACTCTACTTCTGTGTGATAATGGGTGACTTTAGGCCAAAATAGAATAAAAAAGGAGAAATTGAGTACGTGAAAGACATTGTCGTATCTGAGAAGTGGAAGATGTACCCACTCTAATAAGTATCAGTGTAGGTTATTGAGTTGAAAGAAGAGTTTGCATGAAGGAAGTAAATAAGCAGTTAGTAGACATTTAGTGTCTATTATGTGCTAGGGAGGCATTTTCTCTCATTTCTCATAAGAGCCCCATGAGGTTTCTGAATATCATCTACCTAGGCATGGAAACGTGGCAAGCCCAGGACCTGCTCACCCAAACCCCACGCATTTTCCATTTCCTTTTGTTATTGCTTGGATAATTTCCTCCTTTCTGATTTTGCTTTTCTCTCTTTATAATTTCTTGTTAGAATTTGGACCTCCTGGATTGGTCTTTTTATTCTCTTTATTGTCCTGACATCCAATCTTTATCATTTGTTTTATTTTATAGGAAAGCTCTTCAACTTCAGATTTTCTACGTAATTTTTTTTCTGCCGTCATCTTTTTAATGTCTAACAGCCCTTTCTTGTTTTCCTTATAGTCATCTGTTTTTATTTCATGAATGTAATATCTTTTTATTTTTGAAGATTATTCATATATTCTTTTGCTCCTTTCATTGTCTACTTTTCATTCCTTTAGTTCATCCGTTTTAATCTTTCATGTGGAATGTTTTCTTTGAATGTGTAATGATCCTTTACTATTTGTTTTTGTTTAAGATTGAGATACCAAAAAGTGGATTGAAAGATTGGGCTTTATGTACAGATGCAAGTGTATGAGACACTTATTTAGCAGTGGGCCTTATTAGATCACGTTTTAAAAAAAGTTCGGTTGTTGGATGACCCTGCCAAAGTCAATATTTTGGAGGAAGCCTCCAATCTCCTGCCACAGTGATTTGTAACTTAATGCTAACGTTCTTGTATCAGAAAGCCAGGAGCCCACTGATCACTAAGGTGGCTTTATTTTTTGCATTCCTTGACTTAAACATTTTTCATCTTTTGTATATGGTGCTTCTAATTCATGATTTTTTCTGTTTTCTGAGGTGATAATCAGCTTTCTTCTTTTCAGCATCTCTCCCTCCCTCCCTCCTTTCCTTCCTTTCTTCTTATTGTGTTTCATTCAACAAGTCACTTGAGGTGCATTATAATAAACATATACATTAAAATAAGATGTAGAAATATGAGTAAAATTGAAAGATTGACTGAAGGGAGAATTAACACCCACATTTGTATGTTGTGGGGAGGGGATGTCCTCTACAGTTTCTAAAATGAACAGTAACTTTGGCTTCCTGTGTTTTTCTAATTTAGTGATTCTCAATGAAGGGATAGAATAGAGGTAGTTCTCATAGGGGATTTATCAGAATTTAGGGTAGAGTGTGAAAAACATTATGCCTTTGGTTTTTTAAATAAACACTAGAATATCAAACTTGATCAAGTGTTTGTAGCTGGTGGAGATTCATGGAAGATAAAAGTAAGAAAGCATTACAGGGGGCCTGTCAGAAAAATCATTCCTGTGGCAGATCATAATCACTTTCCTGGCAGAGACCTTCTCCTTCTTCTTCTGGTAGTCTTCCATGGCATCTGATACTGGTAATTGAGGCATTTGGTTCAGGTGCTGTTGATGAACGTGCCCGTAGCTCCCTGTAGCTTTTCCTCTCCCAACTTTTACCATTTCATTAATAGGAACATGCAAATTCTCTTCGCTTTGATTAGAGTATTTGGTTTACATTTGAAAACTGTTGTGCTAAAGCAGATTGAAGTGGTGTTTTTAGACTCAGGCCTCATGTTTTACCCTCAGGACAAAGCAAGAGTTAGGGAACAGTTACTAATATTTGTTGCGTAAGCTGGTCTCTGATGTGTAATAGGCCTGCTGCCTAAGTCAAGTCAGGAAGAAACAGTGGGGAGTGGGGAGCCATCTTTGTTTCCATGTCCCAGAAGCTGGATTGCTGGCACACACATCTTAGAGTCTACGCGGACTTCCAAGTGTGTATATATGTGTGTGTATTTCTCTTTCTTTTCAGTTTTATTAATGCTGCAGTGACTTTGCTATTGATCTGATTCTGTAATATATATATGTTTTTACGTTAGGAGATGCATTTTTATAACTAAATTGTATTGTTTTTGCTTTGATATAGAATGTACAAAAGGTAATTTCTTTGCATCATTTTTTTTCTCTTAAATTTTGTTTTTGTTCAGTTTGTCGTGGCTGATATAATTTTATTTGATAAAAATTTGGAGGGGGTGAATGGGGCGAGTTATCACATCTGGGACTATTGTGTTCTATTTCTGGCTCTGGTAGTGCTTTCGTACTTTGGCTTTTTTAGTCTATATTTGGGTTTCCAGGGGATAGTAGAATTTAAATCTTTATGACATATAACAGAAAGCCTTAATATGAAGTATTCAAAACAGAAAACTGGTATTTTTCATTTTTTGACTTAGGTGTAAATGCTTTGGATTTTAAATCTGAAATTTCTAGGAAGAATTAGAAGGGAGTAAATATTGCTGTCTGTGGGGACTGTTTTGGATCTCTCATTGCTGAGTTGATTGACTTACTCTTGTGTCACATTAAAGGTGAATGGGTAAGGTTAAACAGATTCTATTAATGCTTCTTCAGTTGACCAGTTAGGGAAAGGTCAGGCTTTGACAGCTATCAGCCTCACAGACAAAGGGCCTCAGTGCTTTTGTAGTTCAGAATCTGGACAGCAGAATATAATTTACCTCAATGTTTTAAAACCTTTTCAGGACGGTCAAAAAATATTTTTTATTTGATTTCAATTACCAGTGGATTTATTGGCAGAGTGTTTTTTCTTAGAATAGTACGGATGGCAGGGACAATGAAGGTGAGCATCTTAAACGATGTGGAGAGTATTCTGTGTGTCACAAATAAAAACTCCACTGCATATTAAACAGAACTAGTGCTATACAATTGCCAAAATGTTTAGGAAATAAGGGTTTTTGAATGAAGGCCAGTGCAGCTGATAACCTTATTGCCCTGCTTACTGAAAACAAATACATGTGAAACTTTGAATTATTTATTTTTGCTTATTTTAAAATAGTTTTCCTTATCCTGAACCTCACATTTTAAAATTTGTTTCCTATCCCTTGTAGTTTGAAATCTTAATTTCTTCTTAGAAATTATTTCATGTCATTTTTGGCTGATAACTTCTTTTTAGTGAACATGAATTTGTTTATCATTTGTTATTAAAAATGTCAGTTATATGAATTTATTAGAAACTTTTGGATGCCTTTCTCCAGTTCACATTGGAACATTGATTTAATAGATTTACATATGTAGACTTTCAAAATAGTTTTTGGTGTTTACTTGAGTATCATTATTTCTTAGATATTTCTAAGTTGGTGTTAAGGTAGCCATGGTTTTCTGATCATTTTGGCCCTTATATCATATTCCTGGTTAGTTGATCTAGCTTGGGTTGTTGTATCTCTTTTGGAATATGCATTCATCATTGTGGTTAAACTCCCGTTTCTATTACTTAAAATATGAAAGTGCCATTCATCTAATGTACATGACTTTCTTTATACCTACTTTCTGGGATATGTTTACAAATTATTATAAGCCTATTAATAAGTTGCAAGGTGATTTCAATATGGTGCCTGCAAAAGGAAGAAATATGTGTACCTTCAGTCTTTTTGACACAGAAGAAATTTCAGCCAATAGGGAGCCTGAGGATATAATTGAGACAGGACACACAGATGTAAAAGTGAAACACACTAGAGAACAAATGTGTCTGATAAACTTGGAAGCTTTTTACGAGACTTCTGACAAGCCATTGACTATGACAGTAGTGGGAAGGGGTCTGGAGAAGAGTGAAGTGGGGTGGTAAGACAAACACTCAACATTCTCAGTGGAAATTTCAGAACTAAAAGCAACTGAGGGGGGAAAGGGTTAATAACCAGACAAAAGGTCAAGTTTATCTCCAGAGTGGGGAAATAAATAATTTAATGTTCCAAGAATGTGAAGTAGGTAAGTTTGAGTTGAATTGCTTAATGGTTCTAAACATGGTGCTCTCTTTGTTTGAATTAATTTCTAGAAAAAGTAGTAGTCAGTTCAAAACTGACTATTTTGTTTCATGAACACTAGGTAACCTTTTAGATGAGTATAGTAATATGGAATATTTATCCTTTCTCAGGGTTACATATTAGGTGAAATACATATGTTATATATGAAATGAGCTTCTTCAATTGAACTGAATTTGAGGCATTATGCTGGTTAGCAAATTTCAATTTGTTCTGTATTTTATGTAGGAAAATTTATGATTTAGACAAGAGCTGTTTATGTGTTTCTATTACTATTGCATACCTTTAACTTCTTTCCAAATGATTTAAATGAAGGCAT